CAATAACTACCGTCTCGAACTCCACTATTGATCACAATTTGCTTACTGTGAGACTATTCCCAACCCCCAAAATATTCCACTAAATTCCTATATAATATAATAATTATTCTCGTCTCGTACCTCGCTATAAATACCCTAACTATACATTTTTTTTTCCTTGTATGGTACTTGAAGACAAATAAAAAATATTGTATGACGGTTGAAATTTGGCCTAGGTCCTTTTTGGAATTCTAATTTTTATTAACGATTAAGATAATTTCACATTGTTCATACCTATGAAGTTTTTGCATATACAAGATGCTAAGAGAAATAATTTGATGCAAAAAAAATTATCCAAATTTGCTGCTTCCATCCTCTAACCCTACCTAATAGATCAAAAATCCAACATGGATCACTTAAATGCCCATAAAAGTCAATTCTTTGAACTTAATTTAAGAAGGTAAGACTGACTAATTTTTTTGAAAAATGACTCCCCCAAATGATCGGTGTGGTGGTTAAGTCTCCTTAAACGAAAGAATAGTCTTTAACCTCGAGAGTGTCTCACATGGTAACAAGATGAATCGTAAATTCAGATATCTTGAGTTTAAATTTTGGTATTTTCTTAGAGTCAGGTTTAAAATAATTTATCTCTTATTAATACCCTTATTTCGGTGTGAATATCTTTTTTTTTTTTTTGACTAAATCCAAAAAAATTATTAATCGAAATATATGTAAAATGATTCAAATATCCTTGATGAGTCAGGTCTTCGACGATGTGTGTCAGCCCCTCGTACCTATTCTACACATTCAATTAAGATTGTCCCTAAGGATTTATAGTTAGGGTGAACATGGTCTTCCTTCCTTGTTTTTGTATTGTAGGAAAAATTATTGGTCAACCTTACTACTTATCAATTCCCAGCTTTCAACCATGGGAAACAAAGTAGCCAATTTTGAAATAAAGGATGAGGGTGATTTAGAAATAATAAAAATAAGGGCATGTTGTTTTCCACGTGTATAAGTGGTCCAAGGGCTTAATGGCTAAGTAACAATAATGACAACCTTAGAATAATTTTGTTATCCACTACACTTATAGAAATTAACACGTCTCCCAAGTCCAATGAATAATTTGACTTGCAATACAATGAATATAAATAAACTTTTTTGACGGCCACCTAAACTAGAGCCCTCAAAGTATGTTTTTTTTAATTTATTTTTATTTTTTATAAAAAATCCTTCTTTTATAGATGAAGACTCAATTTTAATAATAAATTAATGATATGTTGTCTTATTACGAATAATTATCGAAAAATCTCGTAATCATGATTCAAATTCAAATAAATTAATTATGATATTGGTGCCAATTTTTATGGGATTCTTTGGTTAAGAGTACTAACCTTCAACCACAATTCTACTACAAAAAGTAGTAATATACATGCCTTCCTTCTAATCCTAAATCAAATAATGGGTATAAACAAGTTGCTTATCTACCTGCTATGTGAATTAATTATGATTTTGAACCAGGTTTGATGATACTTTAAATTTGTATCACCTAAATCTTATCATAAGACTACTATATATATATATATATATATATATATATATTTATTTATTTATTTTCCATGAAGGTAATGTACCAACATAACTTATCATATCAATGATTTAAATATTGCAAATTAATCATATGCAAACATGATACTTATTGTTTAGAAAGAAAAGATGTACGACACAATATCCGCTAAATGGAGTTAAATTTTTTTAAATAGTCCCATAGTCTTATCTTTTCAGGATGATGTTTTATTAAAACAAATATAGGAAATAAGATACATGAAATGTGATATTGTAAGTACAAAAATAGTTATTAGGTAAGTTCACGTGAAATAATTTTAAAGAATATTTCAAGTGATAACAAAGGTAAATTGCAAACTCAAATGTCGTGAGTTTGAATTTTAAAAATTTTTTGNAAAGGTAAATTGCAAACTCAAATGTCGTGAGTTTGAATTTTAAAAATTTTTTGGGACTAAATTATTAGAGATTTATCTCTTGTGAATATCTCGGCGTGGATAATTTATTTTAACTAAATTAAAGAGAGAATTAGTCAAAGTGTGCATAAATTTTTTACAGTTGAAAAAGTAAAATAGATTCATATGAAATTTGTGTATTTTTTTAGTTTTTTCCATTAGCTAATTACCAAGATTAGAACAATTTACATTAAAGGAGACAGATCATAGTGCTATAAAGAGGTATTATGTTAATGATTATCAAGGATAAGTTTTAATTAAAAATAGGACATTTTTCANAGAACAATTTACATTAAAGGAGACAGATCATAGTGCTATAAAGAGGTATTATGTTAATGATTATCAAGGATAAGTTTTAATTAAAAATAGGACATTTTTCAAAACCAACCACACAAAAGGCAAACTTATAATGACAACAAAGGAATCACAACAAACCCAACCAGCCTCCCAACCTGGACAGAGAAAATCCATTACCTTCCCATTAATTTCTGTCTGATCAACCCAACCAAAACTGTCACACTCNTATAATGACAACAAAGGAATCACAACAAACCCAACCAGCCTCCCAACCTGGACAGAGAAAATCCATTACCTTCCCATTAATTTCTGTCTGATCAACCCAACCAAAACTGTCACACTCAAAGCCGTCCCATTTTCAGAAAAAGGTTACAGCTTTTTTCTCACTGTGCCTCTCCTTCTCCCTCTCCCTCTCCCTCTACCTTTGTATTCTGCTTCTTCTGTTGTCTTTTTTTTGGTGGAGATTAGTTTCTCAAAAAGCAAGCTTAGTAGTTTTCGCAGCTCATCTATAGTTTNACCTTTGTATTCTTCTTCTTCTGTTGTCTTTTTTTTGGTGGAGATTAGTTTCTCAAAAAGCAAGCTTAGTAGTTTTCGCAGCTCATCTATAGTTTTGAAGGCAAGAGAGCTCTTCTTCGGTCTTGTTGCTTTCTATCCTAATTAATTCAACAAAGAAAAAACAGCTTTAGAGAGAGAGATGGAGATGATGTATTATCAGTTGGCAAGGTCGTCTTACCAGGATTCGTTGAAAGTTCTTGAGGCTGATATACAACATGCTAATGCTTTGTAAGCTCCTCCTTCACCTCTTAACTTCTTCTCTCTTCTGGGTTTGTTCTGTTTTTTGTTTATATGCTCTTGCTTACCCATATATGTGTGTGTGTTTTGGTTATGTTTTTTTCTGTCTATCTGGGTACTTTGATGATTGATGATCATCATAAAAATTACTATTCAGCTACTATGCAAGTTACAAGAAATATGGCAGCCAATTTGGGGGCTTTGTGTTGTGCTTTCCTTTTCGCTGTCTGGTCCTGTTAGCTACTTGGCTCAATTACAATTAACATCGAGATTACAACAGCTTTTTGAGCAGAAAGTTTGTTCATTTGGTGAGATTGTTCAGGTCTTCAATGATTTTTTGATTGGCTAAGAGCTTTACATAGAGAATCATGTAGTTTCCTCTTCTTATGTAGAGGTTCTTAGAGATATGTTGAGGGTGTCTTACTATTCTATCAGAAGCAACTTGTCTTTTGACCTTTCATTTGGAGTCAGAGCAAGTTTGGGGCTCAGAAAGTCCCCCTTTTTTTTTTTCAAATTTAATTATTTTATTTTATGGAAAATCCCTTTGTGATTGTTCTGTAACTAGATATAAAGTTCATATTGTTCTATTGATATCACATTAGATTGCAAATTAGTGATCCTGTTGTTTGGTTTGTTAATGTATATATGTTTGTCCCACATCGGTTAGACTAGAAAACCTCTCTACTGGTATATAATATATATATGCAATTGATATTCACTTTCTGTTCTCTTCTTTAACACGGTTAATTCATTGTTCTCTAATTTCTTGGTTTTCAGAGCTGCTGCAATCCCTAGAGCAAAGGGTGGGACACGACTTCAAATGAAATTGGTCTACAATCATTTGGCACCCCTCTTTTTCTTTTTGCTCCAATGGATGGATTGTTCCTGCACATGTTTCTTTCCCAGATATCTAAATCTTTTCCACATACTTGTATATAAGGTAAGTTCCGAATTGTTTCTGTTCAATTATTTTTTCTGTTTTATTCAATTGGGTCTTTTGGTGAGTCTTGCAAACAATGATAAAAAGGGATGGAAACACTTGAAGGTGGCTTCTTTATTACCACAATTGAATAGTATTTTCCATTTATTTTTCTTTCTTTTCGAGAACCTAACAGAGAGCTATTGAAAATTGAATAATGGCTGAATGGATTTTGACTGTCTCTGTCCTGTTTTGCAGGTGGACACGGATGGGAGGCCGAAAATATCTACACATGGAAGGAAAGCAACAATTAAAGACTTCTATGGTGCCTGAATTACTTCACTTCTTTGCTCTTTTTGTAGGAAAAAAGAAATCCATTGTAGCTTGCTATGCATTCAATATTCTTGTGTGTTTGATTCAACATAAACCAAATTGCAGCTGTTATATTGCCATCTCTTAGGCGGCTCCATTGTGACCTAGTGGAGCTGGATAAGGCTACAGATGATGATCCTGGCATGGAAATCATTAGCAAGAACAAAATTGATGGAGAGAATGGAGTTGCCAACAACGATTTTGATAGGGAAGATGAATGTGGGATTTGCTTGGAGCCATGCACCAAAATGGTCTTGCCTAGTTGCTGTCATGCGATGTGCATCAACTGCTATCGTGATTGGTGAGTAGTTGTCCATAGTTTTTCCCTTTATACATAGTTTCTACCACGACTAGCTGACATTCAATAAAATCGTTCTTTCGATGGTGGTTCTCAACTCCATTCGTCTTACAGGAACACACGATCAGAGTCCTGCCCATTTTGTCGAGGTAGCTTAAAGAGAGTCAAGTCAAGAGATTTATGGGTTCTCACTTGTAGTGAGGATGTGCTTGACACCAACACAATTTCCAAGGAGGACCTGTTGCGCTTTTACCTATATATTAATAGTCTGCCCAAAGATTACCCAGATGTCCTTGTCTGGACATATTATGAATACCTAATATGATCTGAAGTGAATGAGAAGAATGTTGTACAGACAGAAAATGCCGACCGTCAAATGTATATAGAGTCTGGTAAGAAAACTTCACTCAGATTGTTACCCTATGTAACAAGNACCTAATATGATCTGAAGTGAATGAGAAGAATGTTGTACAGACAGAAAATGCCGACCTTCAAATGTATATAGAGTCTGGTAAGAAAACTTCACTCAGATTGTTACCCTATGTAACAAATTATTGAATTATAATTTGTGGTATCTATGTGGGATACCTTCATAATGATATCGAAATAAAATTTATGAAAATTGGGTCCACACTTGTATCTTTTTTCTGCTCAAGGTGCATGAGAATCTGAAAACTTTTATTGGCAAATACCAATTTTTGTCTTTTCTTTTTCAACTGTTTAAATAACACTTAGGATGATTNTTTTTCTGCTCAAGGTGCATGAGAATCTGAAAACTTTTATTGGCAAATACCAATTTTGTCTTTTCTTTTCAAACTGTTTAAATAACACTTAGGATGATGTAATATAAACCATGTTCTGGTTGGGTTTGCTTTGCTCTGATTGTTTTCTCTTGTTCCGTTCGAAAACAGATAGATATGAGAACAGATGGATCTACATTGCAGAAAGAAAGCTTTCTCTTATTATACCAGTTTTATCAAAGAAGAACACAAAATTGTCATTAAATAAATTTTTATTTCCTCACACTCTCTGAACGAATCAATCCGGAGTGATAAAATGAACTAGGCTATGACAAGGAGGAGGCATCAATGGGCCTTTTATGCTGTGATNAAAGAAGAACACAAAATTGTCATTAAATAAATTTTTATTTCCTCACACTCTCTGAACTAATCAATCCGGAGTGATAAAATGAACTAGGCTATGACGAGGAGGCATCAATGGGCCTTTTATGCTGTGACGTATTATCTATATGCCACTTTTACTTTTAATCAGGTCGCTGAACGATGGTTGACAAAATCCTTGGTTGAGCAAGAGATCAGTTAGTTGCTTATTCATGGCTTCTGTGAGATGGATGCCATCCCAGCTGATGTGTTTACTAGGGTCCGTGCAGGTGGATGTGCCAGGCGAGCCACAGATTGTCTCCATGTTGAAGTTGAGATTTCCTCCGCCGGCTCCACAACATGCCTTCAAGGGCTCATCAAACCCGAACTTTTTCAGATTTGTCAATATTGTCAAGAATGCATTCCAGTAATCAGCATATATGATTGAACAATGAGGGTACTGTTTCTGAAGTTTTTGCAGCTTCTTCTGAAGAATTTGGTTGTGGAACATTATTGCTGCATTCACAGGCACGGAACACCCCATTCGATCTAACTTATGGAGTGGACACAAAGAAATGGCTATGGGGAGGCACCCGACTGGTGGTAGCCCTTGAACCACAATGTACTTGGCTCCACCCCCCAGCAGTGTCTGATAGAACACAAGTGATGTTAGCATAAATTCCCAGCATGAACCTCATATAAACATTCAATTAAATAGACTCAGTCTTTTACACGGTGCATATTTGTTTCTTTGAGTCATACCTCTAGAAGTTTGGAGACATGAGAAATCGACATATCTGTGAGGGACTGGAAGGAAATGAGAGATCCCTTCGAAGTACGAACATAGTCACTTATGCCCATGCCACCAATCCAGAAGAGCGTGTTCTCCATCTCAGCATTGCACGACCTCGAATCTTTTCCCTTACATCCAATGTCACTGCGAAACTTGGTGAACCAATCGATCTGAGTCTGCAAGCTCATAGGTATCCCTTTCCATACTAGGTTCTTAAATAACGTCTCTTTGATAAAGTAGTCACTCGACAGACTCGTTGATCCGGCTATTGCGAAGTTACAACCATGTGTGAAGTTGGCAGAACTGTCTTTGTAGGGTGGCAGGGGAGGCAGGGAAAGAGATTCACAGACGAAATCAATAACCAGGCGGCCATCACTAAGCCGGTTTGCAGGTTTCCCATCAGTAGTTGAGCTGTGAGTAGAGTTTGTTGCACCAACAGAGGGGGGTGGGTTTGTGGTAGTTGGGCTGTTGGGAGAGTTTGTAGAACCAGCAGAAGGGGGTGGAGTTGAGCTCTGGGGAGAGTTTGTGACAACAGGAGAGGGGGGTGGGTTTGTGGTAGTTGGGCTGTTGGGAGAGTTTGTAGAACCAGCAGAAGGGGGTGTAGTTGAGCTCTGGGGAGAGTTTGTGACACCAGGAGAAGGGGGTGGGTTTGTGGTAGTTGGGCTGTTGGGAGAGTTTGTAGAACCAGCAGAAGGGGGTGTAGTTGAGCTCTGGGGAGAGTTTGTGACACTAGCAAAAGGGGGTGGAGTTGCGACTTTTCTCGAGGTAGTTGAGCTGGGGGGAGAATTTGTGACACCAGCACAAGGGGGTGGATTCGCGGGTTTTCCCGATGTAGCACCGACAGGAATGGTGAGACCACCCAACCAGTAAGCGTTGCCAGTGTCGGTATACGAGTCTCCAAAAGCATAGATTTTGGAAAAGCAATCTTTGTTGCTACCACGCAATGAAGAAGAAGAAGAAGAATCTTCGTTGTTATGGCTCTTGTTGTGTGCATATGAAGGAGAGAAGAAAAATGAAAGGAAACAAATTGCAAGAGGGAGGAATGATTTATACTTCATTTTGTGATATTGAGATGAGTTTTTCTGTTCCATTTTGGCTTAGGCTATATACAAAGGTATGAAGGCATATATATATGCCTTTTCTGGTAGAAGCATTGCCATTGGAAGTCCTCTACAGGACCTCCATGCTCTTAGGAGAGAGCTAAGGTGGTCATTGCTTGGAGATGGATGGCCAAGGACTAAAGGTGAGGTCCTTAAACTGAGGATTTGACCTTGTTGACTTTGTATTAGCCTCATAAATTTTTTCACTAATCTCTGTCCAATGCCAAAACATATGGATATTAAATCACACAATTTAATTCACGGGTTCGATATCTCCACGTCTTAAAACCTGAAAATTGTAAGTGCATACACATAAAAGAATACAGATCTTAGCTAATAGGTCGAAGGTATATAATGAAGATATAGGAATCAATAACATTTTAATGAATGATTTGATTAATTGTTTTGGTAATGATTTTGATTCATCAACTGTGGGACTTGGGGGAGTCACATATGTTGCCATTTTCACTAGGTTTGCCAATGGATTTGATTTTAATTCGAATCTGATCTGAATCAAAATTTAATTAATCAGATGTAGATTGATATTTTTTATCGATTATCCAAATTTGAATATGAATTCGATATCGTATATTTTAAGGATTCAGATTTAGATATATATATAAATTCGATTTGATTATGATCTAATTTAAAATAATTTATATATTTTTGCATAAATATTAAAGAAATTAAGTGATTGTTTGAAAAAAATAGTTAAAATTTATATGTAATTTGTTAAAATTTAGTTAAATTAGGTTATTCGGATCGGGTTCGGACTATTAAGAGATTTGGGTATGAACCACGAAAATAAAATTCATTAGATTATCAGGGTCGAATTTTAAAGTCAAATTTAAATTCGAATCAATTAAAATTCNAGTTAAAATTTATATGTAATTTGTTAAAATTTAGTTAAATTAGGTTATTCGGATCGGGTTCGGACAATTAAGAGATTTGGGTATGAACCATGAAAATAAAATTCATTAGATTATCAGGGTCGAATTTTAAAGTCAAATTTAAATTCGAATCAATTAAAATTTAATTCAAACTTGATTCGTTAACATGCCTAAATTTGTCACCCTTTTCCAATTTTGAAGCTCGTGACCCATGATATAGCTAAAAAATGAAAAATTTGGAAGCGGGTCCCCTTGAATGGATTTGTTTGAAGATAAGCCTTGCAAGGAAACTTATTTGGTTTGAAGTCAACTTTTTGCCATTTTTACTATTATACCCTTATTTATTTAAAAACCTAAACGTCGTTTAACTTGCCGATTGCTTTCTTAGACGGAGAACCCTTTCGTTTCCATTTTTTTTGCAACCAGTAACTCTTGCTTCCTTCATTCCAGGCTATGAATCCGGCAACATTCCTCAAATATTTCCCATTCTTCTTCTCTGAAAATCATAAAATTCTATTACCCAAAAATAATCAATTCAAAATTGAAACTGGTTTCACATAATAAAACCGAAAATCGGGGTTACTCTTCAAGTTTCATTGGCGAAAAGCTACAATTGTTCTTAGCATTCTTGAAGTCTTCACAAAACTTTGGGATTCTGTAAAAATTTGTAAGGTGTGTGATATTACATGAAGTTTGATGTTTCTTTTAGAGTTTTAAAACTACATTTACACCCTATGTAGTTCGTACTGTCTAATTTTTTTTTAAAATTTTTTTTTTGAAAATGATATTGTGAGTTCTTATTACTATATAAAAGATTTGGGTATTATGATTTCGTTTTTTATTTCATGGCGTTATACATTCAAAATTGATTGGTGTGGTTTCTTTAGAACTTCTAATGTTACTGTGAGATCAATTTTAAAAATTTATTATTTTAATGTCTATATATTGATGTTATTGATTTGTATTGAGTGTCTTAAATTAACCATTAACATTGTATTGCCATTATTTCATGATAGTAACATCAAATCTTTTTAATTTAGATGTTACTGTGCACAATATGACACATGGGATGGACCTATTCATGTTACTGTTACTTAATCATTCTGTTATATAATTAGATGTTTAAATTTTTTGTTGCTTTCTTCGTTGTTCTAGAAATTCAAAAACCATTGGTTCAAGAGTACAATGAAACTTTTTAGGTTACTGTGTAATAACTGGAAAAATAATTTCATACTTTCAATGAATGGATGTGTTTGGCTACTGTGGATGTTACTAACATCTTGGTGTTACTGTAAACATGTTACTAATCAAAACTTTTTAGATTTTTAACTTTAAATGCAGCAGATGTTGTTCATGAAGAGTGAAGGGGTAGTTGTTTGATTTTAAATGCAAAATGGGAACTCAATGAATTTGCAATGGAATCAATCGTATATTGAAAAGTG